CCAATATAAAAAATCATAAGAAATGGTGATAACAAGCTGGATGGACCTAGGGAAGGATGCATGTTGTTGACTAACCTAGAAAATAAGTGCTAGCTGGGCCGCAATGGGCGCCTAATTTCTGGGAGGTAAGGACTTAGCCTCCGAAGAGGATAGGAAGGAAGCTAGCCGTTAGACAAATTGGAACAGGCAATTACACGGTGAGAGTACATAGCGGTGAATTTTAGCTCAGCAAGGAAATCCAACCATAGGGTTTCCGCATTATTATGAACAGGGACAGCAGACGCACAATGAGCGTTCGGGCAACAGCTTTCGAGGATCTTGAAGTAGGCAACGCTTACAGTGGGAGAACTTTCACGCGCCAGGCGCTGCCGGTTCCGCCCGTGTGTGACGGATATATCCGTAATTATAAACAGCTCTCCCAAGGACAAAGACAAGAGCCATTTTTTCTACTACTCACAAGCATTCAGTCGCGCTTCATAAGTTACGCCGCCCCACAAACTCAAGGCCTGAGGGATTCATGGAGAAATTCCATGCCATATTGAGGTTCTTCAATAAATCAGAACATTCCGAAACAAAGTGAGGTTCTTCAACAAATCAGAACATTCCGAAACAAAGATGAGCCTCCCTTTTCCGCGTTAGTCTGTGCTTGAGTCCCTTAGGCCTACGTTTTAGGATCATTCATGTTTATGGTTTAAGTCAGAAACCTTCAGAATGTACCTTTAGTTCTATGTATAATTTTGCAGGAGACAATAAATGGTATACTTTCAATGCCAGTGCTCTCGGAAGGGATGTGGACGTCGTAAAAAAGTGACAAACGGACTGTCATTTTCCTGTGTGTGGCAAAAAGTGTATTCTTTTCAAGGATACAGCAAACACCCTGAAGATAACAGACCAGAAGATCTTGCGAAAAAATTGACTCCAAAATTGGACGAAATTACTTTCAACCTGGCCCCATACCACAAAATCTTTGAATCAACTTATTAGGTAAGGCATCTAAAGGCACGCTTTTTCGAAGTTAAGCACACGATCATGAAAACACTAAAGGAAATGAGCCTATCAACATTATATTCCAGAGCCAATAACAAACGGGCCAGGACATCAAGCAGTGGAACAGAAGGCTCCAAGATGCCCCTGAGAAATCGGTTTACTGTTTTGTGTGAAGAATGACAACCCAGGATGATAATAATATATTTATTATCCAACAGTAAGAAACATGCCGATCAAGGCGTGATTGGACCATTGAAACTTGAACGCGGCGGGCAACAACACAACGGGGAGGAAAGCACAGCCAATGGGACAGCCCGCGAGGCATAAGCTTACTGGGTGGTGGCTTTCAGTTACTTATGTCGGTTCGTATCCGGCGGCATCCATGTTGATGACTCTGTCCACCCAATCGCTGCTTTAATTTTACTTGTGACGACTCTGATTGCAAGTGTCGCTCATCACTCCGCACCTGGAGTGTGGAGCATGTTAATCTTGGACCCAATGCCTACAAATCTGACCGTGCCCTGCGCTTCATAACTATGTCAAAGATGTCCAGTATTCCATGTTTTGTGCTTTTACTTCGAGGCCCTGAATTTTAGCCCTCTTCTATCGACAGTACCTGTGAGCTGACTTGCAAGATATCTTTGACAAGGCATTTGACCTGTCATGCTCCGCCGGCAACGTTCATCATACCGCCAAAAACCAAACCAGAGTTAGCTATTTTTTCAACTCACTGTAGGATTTAAGTGCTTACTACTA